AGAACTAGCTGGGCATGAAGCACTTGTGGTTTGTGTTAGGATATGTGGTTAGGGGGAGAGGTTGTGAGGGCCTGTGGTTGTTACCGAATTCTTTGAAATGGAAGTATGGGTAAGAATGAAACAAAGAATAGAAGAGAAACCTTGGAGCTCTGTGTGGGGAACAAAAAAGTCCAAAGGACTAGAAAAATGCATTGTAGTAATCTATTTTCCATTTGTTTATTCTGATTAGTTTTGCAGCAAACTTATTCTTGATTTGTAAAGGGTAATGATTTCAAGAATGGATTCAGTGCACGATCTCCGTGGTGTTGTGAGGGGACAGTGTGGATGTGGTACAGCCTTCACTAAAATGCCTGAGTCCTGTGATAGGTTTGGCCAGCTCTCATACACATCTGTCTAGGGGAGGAGGAACCCAGACCAAGAAAAGGAGTGTTTTGTCAGAGTGGTTTCTCCTGTGACTTTTTGACTGAGATGAAAACGAGTTGAGCTCACTTAATTCTGAGATCACACGGCTGGCCCAGGCAGCTACCCCCACAGCTGATAATCAGCCGGTGGCCAAGGAAGATGGCACAAGGCACATGGGGAGCTTCTGAGACCTCACACAGAGACCATTCCTCTCTGTGTGTTTGTGTAGCTGACAGTCTAGCTTCCCAGCCCAAAGAAAGTTTAAGACAGCAAATTTAGGATATGGCCCTGACATTTGAGGGAGTGTGGTTAGCAGTACTGCCTAATGAGGAAGAGAGGAAAAAAGCAAAAACTAAGCATGAGAATTCAAAGTAGGGGTGAATATTTCTGTATATGTAAGGTCAAAATGTTCAGTAACTTCCTAATATATCACCTAATGACTGAACACAGTATTGTTGTAAACAGTGACCTGAGATCCCTAAGAAAAAATAGAGTTATGGCCAGCCAGCTCTTGAATGAAGTAAGAAAATGTGTAATTTCCATCCATAGTCATTACAAATGAAGTAAGCTTTGGTTGTTAATGTTAACTGTATGGATGGTAAGTCTTCCACATTGATTGCTTCATCTTTTAATTCCATTTAAAAAGTTTTGTCTGCTCTCATCAAGTAGGCATGTAACATTTCCAAGGTCTCCTCGGAGCAGTCTAGTTGAGCCACACCTTTTGAGAGTTGAGTACCTGTGTAGTTTTGTTTTTGCTACCAGTTAAAACAGAGGAGGCTTGCTGTTGGGGAGCTGTCACCAAGGAGTGATGACTGTGCATGCATGGCAAGCCTTCCCAGGCATCCTGGCCCACTTTAACCTGCTTTAACAATGGTTTCGCAGTGTGGTGTCCCTAATTTACAACCTAAATATGTGACTTTCAATTTGTATTTGAAAAATTGACTACTTTTCCCCCTTCATCACTGGGTATAACCAGAAAGATACTGCTATGGACCCTAAGTTTTATGTTTTTTATCTGTGTTTTTCATTTTTTTATACTTCTATTTGCCTTTTCTCTTGTCCTTTCTGTGGGCCATGGACTAAGTTGTTTCTATTCCATGATCATTTTAAGGGGCAGCGTGGCAAGCAGTTGCTTTGTTAAGTAGCTGGGCACTTCCTTGTCTGGAGATAATGTATTGCTTTTCTGTATGTCTCTTGCATTATAGGCAAATGAAGGTATCCTATGTATGTGCATGGAGCATAGAAATGGATATTTAAACATTGTTGGCTTCACGTAGGCCCCATCTAGCCAAATCTGTTACCTTGTATTCCCATTGGGATAAGGTCTGGTTTACGTCTGCTTAAACTGTTAGGGATTACAAAGCAGATTTTGGATTTTAGCAAGCTGGTGGCCTAGGGAAAGGAGATCAACAACTTTGGTTGTGGATAAGTGAGATTCTGTAGCTGAGTTCACAGTGGACTTTATTCACTTTACTAATGCTTCCATTTTTCTCCATGACTAATGGTATTGTTGTTGAGTGGTTGAGTTAAAACATTAGGAGCATATGATGTTGATGAGTTCCCACTGTATGCTTTCTAAGGAGTGGTTGTACTTACAGTTGACTTTCTTATATGTACAGTTCCCCCACCTTCCTTTCCCCCATACCCCTCTTAGTAACCTGTAGTAACCAGTGAAAATGTATCATCTGGTATGAAAAAAAAAGATTCAGGCATGTTACTCAAAGTCATCTATAAAGTTTTCAAAAGCAAATATAATGGTCTCCTTGTGCTGATGGACTTGATTTCTTTGGGGGTAAAATCCCATACTAAAAGAGATGTTTTTGCAGCTCTATGTGGGTCCCTGTACTCTCCTATTTTACAAGGCTTTTGTGGGCCTGGCCTGGGGGTTCCATCCACTTTATCCCACGATTGCAGAACCTGGAGTTTAACTCCCTACAGGACACAATACCTGTGCTTAGAATGCTACGTAGTGGGGCTGGATTACCATGCCTTGTTGATGGCAGTCCCGTTATTTAACACCATACCAACCAGAACGTTGGAATTGTTAGTGCTGGATGTATTGTTGGTATTGAGACATTCTTTGGTATTGGAGACAAATGACTGGGAATGCCTGAATTTTGTACCACATCACAACTATCTTTTCCTACTAAGTTCCCTGCCCCCCTCGTTACCTCCCCAAGAAACAATGAGAAATAGGAACAAAATAGCACTGTTAATTGGATTTGAGCCTCAAACCCTAGTGCTAAAAAGCTTTGGTTAGTTAGGTTGGATCCCATGGAGCATAAATAGTTTCAGCCCCAAAGCAGGTCCTGCCCCATCTCCCTTCCCCTTCGACTCTCTAATCCTGTGTCATTATTTATTGTACTCTGGCCTAATGGAAGGACCTATAGAGGCCGAAAGGACCTAGGTACAGGCCCTGAAGTTGTTTCACTCCTTCTGCCTTGTTGGGTGATAAAAGAGAGAGAGCAGTTTGCATCCCAATGCTGATCTTTGAGATGGCCAGAACTGTGCCATGTGGGAGAGGGCTTTGGTGTTCACTAAGGCAGCAGAGGGGGCAGGAGAGAAGTCATAGAGCCAAAATCTGCACGGCAGCCTCACTAGCAAGTGCCCTGGAACACGTGCTTGGGGAGGAGTGAAGAAAAGGTGGAAGTGAGCATAGAGTGCCTCTCTACCCTTAGATGCTTACACTCAGACCCCTAACGTGATAGGATAAACACCTTGGATAAACACCTTGTTTATCCAACCTGCAATTTTGAAGAAACATTAAATAAGACATTATATTTAAGAGATAGGCCTGAGTAGTGTCATTAGTTTAAGAAAAAGTAGCCATTTCCCCCTCATGCATTAGAAAGGTAAAGCATATTAGAAATAAAATTAAAATAGACATTGGTACTCCTTCTCCAGTATTTGACCTGTTATGTCATGATAGTGTCAGTGGGATTATCTTGGTTTTATTGCAAAAGAATCTGTTTCCTTCATCAGGTTAAACTATGGAGCTTTGGGCTTTGTACTTTTATTTGCTTAGGAACTGAGTAATTGCCTCATAAAACAGCATGATGGTACTATTAACACTGCATTATAAGACCTGTTATTATAGAATGTGCCTCCCTAGTTGGGACAAGACTTTTTTTTTTTTTTTTTGTGCTTAAAAGTGTTTCTCCAAATGGGGTTGTAATGAATAGTGTAAAATTTTACCTATTTAAAATAAAAAGTTCATAATCTCATGGGTGGCTTTTGTGCATCTTTTGATACTTCTAGGGAGGGGATTTCTTTTGAGTGGATGGTGAGGGAGAGGTATATTTCATGTTCAGAATGGAGATAAGAATGAGAAGAAATATTTTATTTCTGTTACATCTGTCAGAGACAAATTTGAGGCAGCTATTAAAGAATTTGTCCCACTGCTTTGTCTGATTGGGATATTGAGTATTAAAGGTTCATTGACCAAAATATCCTTGAATTTGAAATTTTGGGGGACTTTATTATGAATGACAAAAAATTTAACTGTGAACTATATGGCAGTTTCTGAAATCATTTAAAATTGTGTGCATATGTATGTGTGTATATTTGCATTTGTATATCTGCTGTTATGCTAAACTTTTTATTTCAGCATATTATAGTTTATAGTAAATTTTTTTATCATTCATAATAAAGTCCCCCAAAATATTAAATTCAAGGATATTTTGGTCAATAAATTTTAAGCACAATTGAAGAATATGTAAATATTTCTTAAGGAACAAGTTATAAATAGGGATTTACTATTTTCCTGCTGTTGTGTTGAAAAGCTAAATGTCGGTGGCAGGTACTATTATGGAACGAAAGTAGGCTTTGTGTTATTTTGAATACATGTACGAATTTCAGTCTGTGGAAACAATGGAATCTGCCGTTTAGCCTGATTATGCACCAGGTGCCACAGGTATGTCTAAGATGCAGAAAAGCTCAAGACATGAACAAAAGTGCTAAAGATGTTAATATGCAACAAGTTAAATTCTAGTCAAGGAAATGATGAGGGAGAGGTAATTAGAACGTGAGTAATTAATGGCAAAGTCAGAAATTGCAACAATTGCAGTGTAGGTAGTTAATCTTCGTTAGCTTGCTTGGAAGCTAACTGCTTATGAACTGCTTATGAACACTATTTTGATCCTAGTGAAAGGGGAAAGCTCTTTTTATGATTATAAATTATAGATTATTCTCTTTGACTTATCTTCTGTCTTGGTAATTACCTTAAAGATAATGATATCACCCGTTTTGGTCACTTTTATCTTCTCAAAAGGCTATCTCACTTTATCTTCAGAAACATCCCAGAGGTATGTTGTTAATATTATTTGTATGTTTTTAAAATTTATAACTAAATGACAAAGCTAAGGCATGAGAGGTTATGTTCACATGGCCACTTAGAGAGTCTGGTCTTTTTTTCTCCCAGTTCAGGCTATTTCTTTCTCATTGTTCTACCCCTTCTTGGGGCCCGACACAGTAATACAGTGCTCTGTGATTGGAATAATTCGGGTTTTATGAAGGGGCACTTACATTTCTGTCTTGTTATGTTACAAATGGTTTTTGTGGTCCTGAGTGCTTTTTAAAAAATGGTGATTCTCTTACAGGACGCCAGTTGAGGGAAAAATTCTCCATGAATGTACGTCACAATGATGATGACCGACCAAATCCCTCTGGAACTGCCACCACTGCTGAATGGGGAGGTAGCCATGATGCCTCACTTGGTGAATGGAGACGCGGCTCAGCAGGTTGGTGTAGTAACAGTGAAACTTAACTCAGATTGTCTAAGTGGGAGACGTTAACCCAGTATTTGATTTATTTTGGGATTCAAAGATCTGTGATTTTGAATCTTAGTGTTTCTAGAGGTAAGTGTTTTTGTTGTAGAACCACTGTATGGTTTTTTAAAATATCAGAAATTGTGGTTTTTGAGAACAGCAAATCTTACCTCATCTAGTTAGTATTTTTGAAACATCAAAAAAATATGTGATTTTTGAAATGAGTCATTTAGAGAATATGTACAAGTCTTTGAAATAAAATGACTGTTTTTTCATGTCATAAATTGTGCTTGACTGGTTTGTTTGGTTGGCCAGAGCAACATACTCAGAGGGTCAGGTTTTGATTTCACACAGGAGTGACCTCTGCAAAATGCCCAGGTTGGTGTGAACCCACCCTGGCTCCTGGAATAGTTCTTCCAAATGTGTAGCTCATAAAATGATGGTACTTATTTTTTGAGAATCTCCTTTATCACTAGTTACTGAACATTACAAAATAGAAAAGCTATTTCTGAACTCAGTCAAGTAGTGTGTGGAGAAAAAATTTGAACAGTAAGTAAAACCTTTTAAATATTATTAGGAGCTGAATTATTATCTCTGATAACATTAATTAAATTTTTTTATTGATTATAAAAACTAGGTTTGCCTAGGCTTATAATTAAATAAATATTTTGTCTTTGTACATTTCTTTAAAAACATAAGTTTTTGCTTTATGAAAGTAGAATTGGGACCAATTGCTTGAAAAATATTTACCCAAATATATTAATAATTCAAATAAGTTAATCAGTCATTTATTTGATGTCAGTACATGCCCTCCTGGCAATCTATCATAGTACATTAATACTTTGTATGTACCTCTGTTGGAGTTAACCTTGCTGTTTAATAATTTATATTACATTCTCCTACATTAGACTGTGAACCTCTTAAGCACAAAGAACTTCTAGTAGGTGCTTAATAAATGTTTGCTAGTTGAATACATTTCATGCCTTCTCACCACTGATGTAGACATCTCCCTTCCTGATTCCTCAATCTCTTTCTCTGCTGGGTCATTTCCACCAATATACTGTAGTATCTTTTATCTTAAATGCATAAATAGGCTGATGTGATGGCTCACGCCTGTAATTCTAGCACTTTGGGAGGCTGAAATGGGAGGATCACTTGAGGCCAGGAGTTCAAGACCAGCCTGAGCACCATAGTGAGACTCCTGTCTCCACAAAAAAAATACAGAAAACTTATCTGGGTGTAGTGATGCATGCCTGTAGTCCTAGGTACTCAGGAAGCTGAGGCAGGAGGATCACTTGAGCCCAGGAGTTGGAGGCTGCAGTGGGCTATGATGACTCCACTGTACCCCAGGCAATCGAGTAAGACCCTGTCTCAAAAACAAGTAAACGAAAAAAACCCAAAACAAAACAAACCACTTAAACAACTACACTTCTCCCCACCCAATAAAAGAAAAAAACCCCCTCACTTGATTCTGTACCCCCTGGAGTTGCCACCTCCTATCTCTGTTCCCACTTTTCAGCAGTACCTCCACAAATAGAGCCTGTACTAACTGCCTGTCCTTCCTTACCTCCCATTCCTCAACTTCACAGTCTTCACTTGTGTCTTCTCACCTCTTTAGTCTGTAGGCATGTCTTGTTGACTTTATCTCAGGAAGGTTTGGTGGATTCGTATTGTGCCATATCAACTTCACTTCCACTACCTCTGCTGAACCCCAGGCCATCATCCTAGCAGGGTGAGACAGTCCTCATTGGTGTCTCTGCTTTGACGTTTGCCCCACTAGGAAATATTCTCCACACAGCAGCCTGAGTGATCTTTTCAAAATATAAACTATACCATGTCAGTGCCCTGCTTAAAGCCATCCCATTACCTGTGGGATAGAATCCGATTGCAGTGCATGGCCTGCCAGCCCTACGTGGCTCCTGGCCTCCCTGTCCTTCTCTGACTGCTCTTCTCCAGCTCACTGAGCTCCAGCTGTTCATGGGAAGATTGCAGAGTGCTGTGAATGGTTTCAAGATGCAGTGTTTGGTCTCCCTTATTTTTACTAAATAAAATAATAAAGACAAGATATTCAAATATGAATAAACCTAGAAAGCAACTTAGGTCTTCCAGATGTAATCACCTCATTCCCATTTGCCTATGTAGCCAGGAGACCTGAGGCTACCTATCCATGTTGTGTACCATTTTTGTGTTTTGGTGATTTCTCCCTCATTTTTATGATTCAGTTTGCTCAGGATGGCCTTTTGTAGTTTATTAGCTAGCACAGAGAGCCCTCAGTTACAGAATTTTCCAGTTTTCCCTTCAAATGTAAATTGCTTGGCACATAGAAATGACCAAAGACTGAAAAGTCTGTGGATTTCCTTAGAAGGCCGTGTGGCATTTCCCCACTCAGTGTATCTTAACTCTAAGCTGCTTAACGATTTTGGTTAATAAAACTACATATTTATTTCATCTGGGAAGCTTTCTATAAAGCTAAGAAAGGGAAATGTTAATTTATCTGTTTTATAAACAGTCAAAATATGAAGTTTTATCTCAATGGGAGGTATCCTTATAAAATCTCATAGGAAGGAAATGTTTGTCTTTTTAATTAATAAATATATTTGATTGTGTTAGAAGCATTAACATTTGTGGGACAAGCTATTGTTTGGCATTAACCCTAAGTTTTCCTTAATTTTGCCATTAAGTGGGCAAAGGGCATTTGAAATATCCCCTCAGCAGGACCAACTCGAGATATATCATGCCTTGATGTTGTTGCTATATCACTGTGGCTCAGCCTAGGCAATGGCCTATTTTTCTTCCTTTTTCTGTCCTTTGTCTCCCTCATTCTTTCAAGCCTCTGCTCTTTCCTTTGTGTCCTAGCACTTAGCATTGCCCTAGGTGAGTGTGGCCGAGGCCTGGGGCCTGTGTGGAACCTGGGCTGAGGCACAGGGGGAAGACAGACTGTAGGAGCAAGCAAAACCCAAACTCTCAGAGAAATACAGGAGAGTAAGCAGAGAAAGGGGAAGAATAGAGGGTCACCCAAAAGAATAAGAACAAAGGTATCTCTAAGGCAGGACCTGACAGTGTGGTGCTGCATGAGTTTGAGTGCTTGCTCAGGGTGCCTGTTGGTATTTGCTGCTTGCTCTTAAGGGCCTGCAGGGTGATCAGGTGGGCCTCTGTTAATGGATCAGGACACAGGGGACATACCAGAGGAAGTGATCTGTATAATGCTTTCAGAGTCTTTCACTCTGTTCTCCCACTGAGGCAACACAATTCAACTTAACAAAAACCTTTTGGAGGCACAGGATTGACTTAAGGATGGACATTGCAGGCTTTTTATGACAGACTCTTGGGGGTGATGTTTTAAGGTAGGTAGTACTTTAGCCACCTCTCAGATAATACTGTTGTAAAGAGCCATGCACTGGCCACAGTGTTCTGCCTCTAAACGTCTGTTAGGAGTGTGTGTACGGTGAAGCTTACCTTGTATGTGTTTACGGTGTTCTTAAGACTTCGCAGCTGTGCAGAGGGCATTCTCAACATTTCTATATATGCAAAAGAACCACCGCAGCTATGAGAAAGCTCTTCGGTTCCCACAGTTCTCCTCCTCCTCCTCTGATTTCTGTCTTGATGGTTTCTAGATTTAATTAGTGCTAGTTCTTGGCAGGATTCTCTGCTGTGTTCTTGCTCTCTACATAAGAGACACTGTTAATTTTCATTACTTGAAGTCATGTTAAGTTTGAAACCTTGGTTTATCATTTTATATAGGTAGCAGGAAAAAGAAAAGAGTGAAAAGAATTATTCTTTTCTTAAGAAGAAAAGTCATCCTTATTATGAGTAAAGCTTTAAAAAATATACCATCAATTAACAACAAACACAATGTGAACAGAAGCAACTTACTCAACAGCTTTACTTATTTAACAGCTTTATTGAGGTATAATCCACAGGCCATACTATTCATCCACTTAAAGTAAACAGTCAACGGAATCTAATGCATTCACAGAATTGTACAACCTTGACTACAGTTAATTTTAGAACATTTTTATCATCCTATAAAGAAACCCTGCAGCAGTCACTCCCTATTCCCCCCTGCCTCCTGCCATTCCTAGGCAACTACTAATTTACTTTCTGTCTCTGTAGATCTTGCCTATCCTGGAATTTCATATAAATGAGTTCATGTAATATTTAGTCTTCTGTGTCTGACATCTTTCACTAAGCATAATATTTCCAAGGTTGTAGCATGTATCAGTATTTTATTCCTTTTTATTGCCAAATAATATGCTATTGCATGGATATACCACATTTTATTAATCCATTCATCAACTGATAGACATTTGATTTCTTTCCACTTTTTGGCTATTAGGAATAATGCTACTGTGTGCAGATTCTTGTGTGGACATGGTTTTATGCCTCAGGTCTATAATTAGGAGTGAAATGGAATAGCTTTATTTTGAATTATTGTTTTCTAAATAAAGTATCTCTGCTTTTTCTCACCAGTAATTCCTTCTGCCCTGAATAATTATAGCCCAGCATGGCTAAATAAAGTTTGCTTCGCTTAATATACCTAATTGTATACTATTCTGGAGTTATAAAACTCAGGTTTCGACCTGAGTTTCTTAATGTGTGGCTATATAAATTATGGTGAATGCTCTTCAGTAAACAGAAAATTAGTGCCTATGTTGACATTTTCAGAACCTAATGATATATTAATTTAATTGTCTTTGTTATAGACTTCTAACATGTTTTAGAGATTTAAAAATGCAGCAGCTAGTTTGGAGCATGAATTCTGACTTTTTAAATTGGGTTAATATTTTAATGATCTCTGAAGAAGAATTATAACAGCTACCAGTTAAAGAAAGAAAACATTACGTTAAAAACAGAAGTGTTACATAGGGTGACAGAGGTTACTGATTTGCTCATTTAATACCTGACATTTATAAAGGTATCTGTGACCTACATGGAGGTAGTATGCCACTTTATATTGTATTCTTAATGACTCT